GGAACACCCTACCACACACAGTGGACCTTACGTCTAAGGCAGTGTGCAGTCTGTGTTGTCACTCGTCAAAATGAAGTAATTATCTGTTGCCGACTTTCCAAAATACAGGTGTGAAAATAATTTAGACAGGTAAATTAGAGACTTGGAATGTAATGTATGTACTCTCAGGGGTGGTCCAGGTGCTAAGGACAATGTGCCCATACCGATCACATAACATCGCTCTCAATGCAACGCTGAAGTCAGCAATTATCAGAATTGTAATGAACTATTCGGTATAATGTTGATTGCCATTTACAGGGCGCACTTGGCTAGAGTGTTGTTGATACCCTTACTCGTTGTACTTAACTCTCCACCAAGTGTGTCTCGTTAGTTCTCGTCAAAGTCCCGCAGAGCTGTAGATAGACCTGGGGAAAAAGAGCCTGCCTAATGGTGTCTAATTGTCACGTTTCTATTGTAATCGCTAGTTGACAATGATTTACCTTAGATACTGACATGGGTCGCTTGACTATGTAAGTCATCAGATGAGCTGACCGACTGTTAGGAATGACTGTCATTTAGTGGCGACTCGTTGATAAAGGGATAATGTTCAACTTTCCCATTACCATCTTAACTTGTTTGCAGTAATGATACTGACGATTTTTTTTATTTTTATTTTATTTGCTTAGTTGCCATGTCGATTTCTAGGTTGGAAATAAGGCACGCTTTGTCAGATGTACTGGTAAAATATTCAGAAAAATTCTGCAAAAGTACGGATATCTATTGTTTCCATTTGATTGCTATAAATTGAATTCACAGGTTCAAAGTATAATTTAATCAAAATTGTTCTGAGGTTTGATTTGATCCTTGATAGCGATGGGCCCTGTGCATATATAACGCCTACTGTATCAGTCATACCCGGAACTCAGAGATGATATGCTATTTTCAAAACTTGTCTTTCTATCCTTAATATTTTGTCCGAAATTTGATTTTAATGAAATGCTATTGGTCGCAAAAAATAGAATGAATTACTAGGTCTTCAAATCAAAACGATTTTCTGTACAATTTTAGGATGAAATGTCACTGCGAGATCGGAATGTATTTGCATAGCGTTTCTCATTGATCAACTCTGCTAGAGGTGAATCACGTGTAAGATTTACATTATTATATAATGTTTGATACAGGGCTAAACCATGCAGAATTCAAATCAGAACTGTTCAACATACCGTGCGTTTTGTAATGCTATTAGTACTCGTGTGGCATTACAGCACATCATTCTGTGGGTTGACCATACTGGTCATCCTTGGGTCACCTTGACCGTAAGTCAATGTTTGTTTGTCCTGCCTAATCTGTTACCTGTCCGTCAATACACGTCACTCTACTGTAATGCCGTCATGTGTGACAAGTCCGATAACTCTGCCAAGTCTGGTGTTGGAGATCGAAATGCTCTAGATAGATCGCACGGTAGTCGTGTCTCACCAGCCCCGGGGTTAGAATCGCATCTATCACCGATCCCGAGGGTCAAATTTCATCTAGGTCTCATGCACTAGTTCGGTGTCGTCATTATCTTGGTTAACTCTCGACAACATATTTCACGTTTCAGAATGAATTCTCACCAATGTATCACAACATTCTCAACAGTTTATGTGTCAACTTTCATCAAACTTTTACATAATATGTTTCGCCAGTATCGGCGTCATCTCTAAACAATGTCTTAGTATTCTGATGATTAGCTCTCAACAACTTGATGATTTCGGGAGTCTTAGTATTGTTTCATCGGTATCGGGTCAACTCTCAATAACCTCTTGCCAGTTTTAATGTCAGCTGTTGTCAACAGCGTCTCAGTAAGTCTCGGGGTCCAATCGTTCTGTAGCCCGGGGGTCAAATCTTGTCTGGATGTCACAAGTTCCAGTAATTAAACCTCACTTAAATGGACAAGTAGAGTATTAATTACGCCTTGTCACGAGAGCGTAAACACATCCATTGATTGATTTGTGTCCCAAGGAGCGGTGATATCGCCCGCTCGCTGGGATTATGTGAAAGACCAAACAACTGTCTGCCACCATTTTGTTTGCTAAGTCTGCCCGTGTTTGTTCGGGGCAGTCCACCTAACGGTATTGGTCACTTGATGGCTGCACGTAGCCTATCTGTATTGACCTAAGTACACAGTCTACCTTTTGCAAGAAAAAAAAAGCTATGATTGCAGACAATTGTGCTGATACCATCCTAAAATTATACAGATGAACGTTATATTTCGATCCAATACCGTGATAACAGTCGTAGACAGCATTTTTTCTGTCCTCCAGAGGTCCTCCACCGGTGCAAAACTTTAATTTGATATAATGCACCAGGTTGAAGAATTTTATAAGACACTCGGGTTGTGGTTACGTAAGTGCTATCAAAATCGCAATTGAATTATTTTGTCTCGTGCCAGGTATGCGAACCCAGGCCCTATCCGCAATGGTTTTCCTAGTGACACTCTATACCCAAAACTTACACCTGCACGGCGAGATAACATCTCGGCCTAGCGTCCCCGCTCAGGTTTCCAAAGTCCCAAATAAAGGTCAACGCTGATGTAAAATAGACGACTTCAGTCTGGTGTTGAAATAAATGACAAATGTATATCGCAATTGAAATCTAAACATTTAAACTAGGATTTCGATAAGTGTTATGTATTTAACACGTATAAGACTAGTGGGGCTCCGGGCTTTAAGCGTCATGATGGGTGGTGGAGAGGGGGAGTTGATGATAAGGGGGTAAAGGGGGTGCTCATTTAACCTTACACAATTATTTAAAGTCACTGTACCCAAAACGGGACACTGTCATGCAATGTAAAGTTTAGTTTGGTTTGGTTTAGTATTGTTTAACGTCAACAGCTATGGTCATTTAAGGACGGCCTCCCCTGTGTGCAAGATGCATGCGTGAAGTGTATGCGTTTGTGTTTTGGGTGGCTGCGATATGTTCGTGTTTGTCTCCTTGCAATAGTGCGGAACTGATGCCGACTTTATAGTGCTACCTCACTGAAACATTACTGCCGAAGACACCCAGCAGGACACCCCACTCGGTCACATATACTGACAACGGGCGAACCAGTCGACCCACTCATAAATTGCTGAGCGTTAAGCAGGAGTAGAAACTACCATTTTTACAGACTCTGGTATGTCTCGGCCAGGGGACAGAACCCAAAGCCTTCCTCACATGGGCGAACGCTCAACTAAAGGCCATCATGCAATTGGGGTATCAGGTACAATTCTTACGCCCTACTTGCAGGGACTGCAATGTAAAGAGGTACTTTTATGTATGAAGTTTTCTTTTGATTGTAAGCTTTATTGGCTGCTGATTATCGTTACATGAACAATTTAAAAGTAAGAATAATTACCAAACCAAAACTTTCCCGATTTACGTGCGACCTATTTATTTGGATATCATTTTCAAAAGTGTATCAAAACTCATGCTAATTTGGAGAAGAAATTAAATCAGAACCCCCTTTGACTCTAAAATATTTGAACTATGTATACTTTTCTGCTGATATTGATCGTTTATCCCCAAATAGTAGCCAAATTTCCGAAGTGTCCCTTTCAGATTACAGTAACGCCGGTTCACGGGCCTACGCGACCCTGATAGTATTTCGCGTTCTCTTTATAGAACCACGCGCCCGAAATAAAAACGAACAGTGGATAGTATCTATTTATGAAAAATGGGCAAATATTTTTGGAATTGATTGTATGGTATAAAGAAAATTGATAATTATCTAAAAAGTGTCCCGATTTGGATAAAGTCATAAACAAATTATGTGCATGTATCTCATTCAGTGCAAAGTTATCCAGTTAGATACTAGATACGTGTTTCATCGGACGTCTTCGGGCCTTTCCGGCAATCACGGAAATTTCCGAATAATATCCGATTGAGTGCTCATTATTCGATCTTATAAAACTATCCAAATCCCGCATCTGAGTCACAGACCATAAAAAGCCCCGTATCATAGTGTCTTGGCATGCTGTTGCAGTGTATGGATGGGATGTGTCCCGTGTGTATAATGCTGTTCCGTGTAGGTATTACAAGCTGCCGAATACTACAGATTAAAGCCTGTTATGTTAGTGTCACAGATGTCCCATTGTAAAGCGTGTTTATCGAACGCGCCCGTTACTACAACAAACACATGATATTCATTGGCATTGGAAAGTATAAAAAGTCAAATTGGCTTCTGAAGACACTGCACACGGATCTACAGTACCAAAGATTTAAATAAACAAGTTACACAACCGTCTTATGTAATATGAAATCGATCCGTCTGAAGGAATGTTGGAATTTCCTGAACAGACGTCGATATTATTTACAAAGTAGAGAAGAAAAGGCACGTACACTGTACATGGCTAAAGCCTAGACGAGTGCAATTTTTTACAGTTTTATTACATTACAGACAGACATGATTAGTTTTGACAGCCCACGCCATCTATCGGATTTTTCGCCTAATTTGGTGATGATCCCGGTTCTTTATATGTTGTTTGGCCATAAGGAAGCCCAAGAACGGTCGGGAGCCATGTCAATGCCTTTTTGATGATAGGGGTCCATCCTAATCAAATTGCATCTGTACAATGTTGTACTTTCGGGAAGTCGGTTCGATTTACTCGATGTTTTTAAAGAAAACCATTTCCATATTCCTGTCTGGTATAACCATGACAACCGGTCATTTATAAGACCAGTCAGATACTGTTGCATCACCGCCAATAATTGATCGGGTACCTCAGGACAGACTTTAGAGACATATGTAGGTGTTTAAACCCCTCTACAACCAGTAGAGATGTCTTACTGTGCGGAATTGTGACCCAGTCGCACGTGAAGGAACGTGATACATCCGGGTAAGCCGTGATGTAATATCATCGCGCCCCTCATTGCATTAATCTTTTTATTTCTTTTGATCCTTTGTGTCAACGATTGGTTGATATTTACCTTCCATTCAACAGCTCTCAGCGCGACAGATGAGGTCACCATTTGCCACAGAAATCGAAACTCCAAAACACTTTATGTGACTTGTCAATAACAGTCGTTGACCTTTAAACTCCCATTCTTTAAGTTTGAATTCTCAGGTAAGGAGCCTTTGAAAAGCAAACACACCGGTATTACATATACGATGCCTTTCCGGTTTTACCTGAGTCTAGATAAATTTATTCAAAAGAGACTATCTTCCCGGTCTATTTTAGGAGGGTTTACCGGACACAGACAAGGATCATTCTCGCCCAGTGGCGATACCTTGTTTATAAAAAGACATTTTAACCTAACGGGTTGTTTGACCTATTCAAACAAGAGGAACCACCTGTGATGTTGTCCTTTCTGATGCTCGCGAGCGTTCACACTTCACGCGAGACGGAAGGGGTTTGTCGCTGTGTGATGAAACCTCGCTTGAAAGAGAACCAGGATTGAAAGAGGTTCTCCAAGCGTGCATACAGCGTAATACGACAAACCGATATTTCATAAACAGCGCTCTCCTCACTCACTACACAGCTCATGACTTGACACTGGGACAGATAACCAGACGTACAGTAGACGGACCGGAGCTCGCCAATACACTGCCTTGTTAAAAGGGTACCTCCTGTCTCGTGCACGTGTATGTGTGTGGTTCCCCCTACCCTCCCGGGACATACGTTTTTACTGGAATATACTATACTGTCTGTAGCCAACATGGGAAGGGACGTGTGTTTTGGTGCTAAGGCTAAGCCCAACAACAGAACACAGGTGAAAAATATACAGGTGAGTTAAGAATTACTTTTCTAATGTCTATACACACATTGCACAATGTTGCATTATGTTACACTACGTGTGGGGGAACGTGAAACGTGTGTTTGATAGTTGACAAATTGACATTATGATAAAATGACCATGCTATGTAAGTTATATACTAATTTTAAAACCGACCACGGTGAGAGATAAGATAGGAAGCTTAGTGTACCTCTTAACCCTGTATTGCACCGCTTTAAAACCCCTCCTGTGTATTGCGCTGTCGGGCCATTGTTCTAGTCTACTCAACCCTTCACAACATGTGTGGTTCATTGTTCATAAAACTAATTGATTAATCCATGACGTAACTATTGAAATGCTAATCAAGTCAATTTCTCAGAATGCAAATACAGGAGAATTCTGTTGTGTATGATATCATCATTTTCAATTGGAAAGCTCATGTATGTAATTTTCAAATATTTAAAATTCCAAATTTTAAAAGTAGGATTCTATATATTTTATCAATATGACAGAAACAAAACTATAACCGTTTACTTATCAAAATATGTTACCTAACACGCTCAACATTTTGTAATTTAAAATGAGTTCACCAAGAATGATTCTAAAACTCAAAATACTGGGTATCTATGCAAAGCATTTTGTGTATTCCACAAGTACACACTGGGCTAATGATCAGTTTTCTATGCCATTAGTATATGTTTACAGCTATGCGCCTGGATGGCGATGAAGAGCTCGGGTTTTATTCGTGTCCTGTCATATGAAAAGAAACTTCCTCACCTATCTAGGTCAGAAGGATGGGATTACGGAGTCTATAAACGCTGTAAGGATAATAAGCATACATTCTATACAAACTCACGGACGTCTACATGAACATTTTAAAAACGCAATTCAAATAGGTTTTTTATATTCTAGTCTGGTGAAGTTTTTAGTTTTATTCTGAGTAACTAAACAGCCTTTTAAGGTCATGGAACACCACCTGTGCCGTAAACCTCCTATCATTAAGCACGTTCGAAAACACAGTTAGTACTTTTGTATGTCTCTGTATGTTGAACCGCTTAGCAATACGGACACTTGACCAGCTGTTCTGTCAACTGTCAAACCCCGTGGTATGACCTACTTAATTTCATCTGACCTAAAATGTCCAAAGGCAAATCAAGAGAGAATTTAATTGTCAATCAATTAATTATATTGCACTTGTTTCATACACATAAATAGGACGCCTATGATCTTTCGAAGTTCAAAATTTTATGTATACAAACTGTAACCGACGTTATTTAAAAATGCCCTTTGAAACGAATTTTATCGCATAGTATTGGAAATACCAGTCAAAGATGGCGTTCTATTGAATAGTCCTTCCGTTGTCCAGCTCGCTTCACCAATGCGCCAGTTCTATCACGACCATTCCATCGCCTCGTATCCATTGATCAGTTATCATAACTGAGTCCCGGTTCGGACACGCTTCCGGACATATTACCAATATCAAAGGGATGCTCGCTACTGAGCCAATTCATATATTCATTGCAAACTAATATTCGGAATGGAAATTGGATGTAGTGCTAGAGAATGTGACGGCGTCCGCTGGTGCCGATTAGAACGTGCCGTTGGGAGCGAAAACGCGTGGTCATATGATCCTGGTATCTCTCTTCGAAGATACTACTTTTCACCTCTGTGGTACTTGAACCATACTGCAATATATGCCTTTGTTATAGCTCTTTTAACGTAAAATCGTTGCGATGCTTGAATTAATGAAGAAAGGCGTATGCCAGTTGCCAACAAACCAAGGCCTCATTTATCGGTCAAAATTTAACAGTATTCAGTCCAAATACAGTTTTTACCTGGAAAGTTACAATGATAGTAACAATGAAAGTGTTTTTCGCTGTAAATATGAATTATTTCTGCGAAATTTAAGTAACAGAACAGAAAAGCTTCCTTGTACGGACATGCCAAAATTATAATGCCAATTTCCTAAAAAAAAGGTGGGAAGACATTATTTTGAAGGAGAAACCTACCCAGACAACAACGGTGATTTAATTCATTTTTTTTACATACACATATCTTTAACAAATATTTGCCTACTTATCTGCAGACTAATGCAAACCCTCGTCCGTAAATAATGGTGACTGCCATCATTACGTCATGATGAAATGTTCGATCTATATAGTAAGAGGAAACATCACCGGTACTAATCAAAAGTAATATGAATATATTTAAATAAACCTGTCTGTGTTTACGTTTTCCAGGAAATAATTTAGAAGATAATTATCAATATATAATGGGTAGGACTACAAACACCCGACTATGTCGGCGTCATGCCCGTGCCCAAGCTGACGGGTACCAAAGGTGGGTTACTGATATCGATTGTCCGTTTCTGTCACGGAAGGTTCCAGTAATGCAAGCAACGCCCTTTCAGAGAAAAAACTATGGTCGCTTTACTATACATAAAACGAAACGTCCGGTCTGAATCACAACGACGTACGTGACGGAAATATTCTATTTCGGATGTGAAATCAAACAAGAAGAAAGAATACTGATATACCTTCGATAGATATCATAAACTTTGGAGGAGTGTCAAGCTGACTGGGCTTTCAAAACTCGAGAGCTGAAAGATTCCTGGATGATAAAAAAAAGACTGACATGAAGGTTGGCACATGATGTATTGCAAACAAAACCCCGGAGTAGATTGTCATAATAGTTTATATGGCCTGGGCGCCCAAACAACCCTGCTACTTTTATCTCCAAGTCCTTACAATTACAGACAACAAAAGTATGTTTCTAACAGGAACTTGAATTATGAAGTGAGACGTATCAGATTATTGACGTCCATAGAAACGCATTCAGATGTAAATTTTTGAGTGTTTTTTTTTAACACCGGTAAGTTTTGTTTATTGATATTAAAGAAACATACACGCAATATCCACCGTCCCATGCCCAGGAAAATGATGGTCTATTATCGTCAACAATACCTATGATTATTGCGAACAAAATCCCGTCAACGGGTGTCAAAACCGCTCATTTTCTGCGGTAATGAAGGACCGTTTGATTTGAAGAACAAACGCCTTTGAAAGCTTGCGTCGTAAATAATACTATATGGCAATTTAAAATTTCATGTTTCTTTCATAAAAAGAATGGCAGAAACTACAAACTTAAATCGGAACGACATAATTTTCACGGAAAAAAATGGGATTTGATGTTTTCTGAAATGTGTTTGCTAGTATCTGACAGCGCTTGTATGTAAAAATATAAGATTACTACAAAAGCTTAAATAAGTGAATCAAAGTCGTAAAAGGCGTAAAATGCTGTGCACAATTAAGTTGCTTGTTGCCATGGATTCGAGAACCCAATTCAGTTGGCTTTTGGTTTTATAAAATAATGTCTTACAAAATATGAAAGAAGACCAATATTTTATCTGGCTTAACACATTACATACCGACCGATACACCGAGTAGTACTTGTCAATGCATGCCGAATCCGCAGAGCTTGACGCACACACATATATTTAAAACAGATTTTTAACTGTCGCGTGACAAATCCTACAATTAAATGTATTATGTAACGTATTATTGTCAGCCAGTGATGGATGCAAATTGAAGGTCGACACAGAAATAATTTTAAACATTTGTGTTAGGACGTAAAACAATGAGAAAACAAGGGCTGTTGACAAACTACCTCACTATCGCTCAATCGATATGGTTGTTCTTATTGACTGCGGCTCTTATCCTCATCAGAACGAGCCATCTGAGTAGAAATGGACGCCTAAATAGGAACTTAATCGTTAAAAACGAACAAGCCCCTGCCAATCTCATTATCTGGTATCAAATTACCATACTTCGGCTTTTATCAACAATCAAGGACGACCGACTCGCACTTGAAGTTTCAGACCGGCAATGGAACAGGGTCTGCTTCAACGTTGACCGTCAATAATCCGGGCTGATACGGAGCCTAATGGGTATTGTAAGGTTTAGATGCATCAAAGTGTGGAATACTAATCACTCCCAAGAACAAAAGGACATTTGATAAGGCTTACCCTTCGCTTCACTTATTCCATAAAGCTTATTGCATCGAGTAGGACACATGGGACATAGAACGGCAAGATAAAGGTCAAAGACATCATTACCTGCATTCAACTTGACATTGTCTCAGGACTTGTCATCGAGTGTTTCTGATCCTGCTTTGGTAACTCCCTTAAGAATTACAAGACATTAACTTTGTCATGTCATTGTAGGCTATTTGCATTGAATCTGCATCCTTCCATTGCAATGCATTGGGAAGACAACTTTTTTATGAGAGTCATCAATCTCTATTGTGACATCATCAGTTTTATTGTTGTCAACACATAATTTGCTGTTCAAAGAACTGTTCGAAATGACTAAATAAAGCGTAACTACTCTATCAAAATGTAAATATAAATAATGAATGTTTTAACAAATATTGTTATGGTCCTATAACACATATTTCTACTGCTGACAAACTCACATAAAGCACTGCTGGGCTTAATTAAGTTTGTCATCAATAACAATGTGTGTTATAGGACCATAACAACTTTTTCTAAAACAGTCATTGCTTAAATATTAGACATTTTACCAAGAATTTATTGTGCTGGTTGTTTGCTGAGGATTATGGCGAAGCAGCTTTTATAATTGGCTTTCAAAAGTTAAATTTGTCAGTTGTTATGTAAAAGTAGCTATGCTAATGGCATAGGAAAATGGTTTTGCTGGTTGTATTTGAAAATAGGTTTTGCTAGTTACTAATATGAGAAGTAACTTCTCCGGTTGCTATGGCCGCATGCATGGTTTACTGGTTGTTATGGTGAATTGACAATTTCAGTTACTATGAACGTTCACTGATTGGTAGAGAATATTGACTTTGCTCATGGATTCAGAAAATTGGCGTTTTTTAGTATCGAAAATTTCGCTGGTTATGATGTAAAATTGGCTGTGCCACTTGAAAAGGAAGATTAACTTTGCCAGTGGTTATTGATATTGACTTCAATGGGCCGATTGCTGTGTCATGCT